ATATATATATTTAGATTTTATTGGTGTATATAACATAGCATTTTGGATGGAACATTATTTCACATATTTGGGTATTTGTGATTTTTTTTTAATTAGCTGCAATCTTATATTGAGGGTTTTTTTTTTTGTTTTAGAAATAATCATATACATTGGTTCACAGTTCTTATTATTTATTAATTAGTTCTTGTGTTCAGTAGTGTTTTTGTTGTTTCGTTTTATGCTCACAATAGATTTACGATATGTTTTGTGATGTGACAAAAAAGTAAGCATTGTTGTTGTATTTATTTAAAATTTCAACAAAAAATTGTTAAGTATTATTCTAATGTCACTCGTAAGGCTATAAAATTATTGTTTAGTGGCTCTAGTATATCTATACAATAGCTGCAAATCTTAATCTTATATTTTATCATCTTTACATATCCTATTTTTTCACTACTTTTTCTAACCAAATCCAAAATATTCATGATTTTATAGCTTACTTTATTTTTGGCGATCCGTTTTTTTGACCCAATTTTTTCTTTCAACTTTTTGAAATAAAATCGATTTGTTGCCGATGTTTTGGTGTGCCGATCTTTTATTATCCCTTGACTTGCTAACTATGATCTCAATAGACCAAAGGTTTAAAAACATATCTTGGGGCATAAAAATTCTAAGTTTTATATCTTTTAATCCCCTCATCTAACTTTATCCCCTTTAAACCTTTTTTTTTGCCCCAAACAAATATAAGAAAAACATATTCTTTCTAAACACCATCCTTTCTCTCTCTCCACGTGAATTTCCCGTAAACCTCTTTCTACCTATTTTCCCACTCTTTCTCCCCTTTGTCTCTCACTAGCTCTCCCCTGTTACAGAGACAAAGAGAGTGAATGTTAAAGAGAGAGAAATTTGGGGGGAATATATCACGTAAAGAGATGAGGGGTTTAGAATGAGCATATCTTTTTTATATTTGTTAGGGCTTAAAAAATAGTAAAAAGTGGGTAAAGTTAGTCAGGGGATTAAGATATATATTTTGAATCTTTGGGTCTATTGAAATATGAAAACAAAAAATACGGGGTGCGAGGATATTTCGTAAATCTCCTTTTTTTTTAAGAGGAATAGTAACATTTTTCATTCAAGTAGCATAAAAAAAATACAATCAAAGCACAATTAAAAGAAACTGCCCAATATATAAGGAAACATAAAAAAAAAGAAGCAAAAGAAACAAGCTACTACAACAAAACTAGATAACTATTAAAGACACCTCATAACCTGCTTTCACCAGACTATCAGCCTCCATATTATTCTCCCTGTGCACATGTTTAATAGAAAATTCCATATCTTTACAAGAATCAATGAATCCACACATTAGACTATGCCACCTCCAAAGGTGTTCAGCTTCACCCTTCATCCATTTAACTACATTCAAAGAGTCACCTACAATAACAATAGGCATTCGATACTCACTAGCTAATTTTAAACCTTGCAAAGCAGCCCTACACTGTACTTCATTTGCGGTAGCATTCTCAATTGATCCATAAAAATTTTTCAAAATCTCCCCATTACTACCCCTAATAATCCCACCAATACCTGCATGCCCCGGATTGCCCATAGAACTGCCATCAAAATTTACTTTAATCCATCCAACCTCTGGACATTTCCACAATCCTTCTTTTATAACTTTCTGTACACGATCTTGTATCATAATGTTCAAATTATACAAAAGATAGAACCAAGAAACACCCCACCAAAGCTTATTAACTCCAAGCCAATCATCCACTACATTCTTAATTTTTTCAACCACCTGTCTAGCAGTCTTTCTTTTATCTTGAAAACACCGCTGGTTCCTCTCCTTCCAAATCTCCCAACATACAGCAGCTTTAACAACCTTCCATATCATACGACCCGTTTTACTCAATCCAATCATCATCCAATCCCCAAATATATCATCTACATGTACTGATCCCATTTCATTCAACTCCATACCCATAAGGATCAAGGCCCAAACCTCATTTGCAAAACTACAGTTTAAGAATAGGTGCTCAACATTTTCTTCATTCTGTTTTCGTCGGTCATCCCTTTATAAAGAACGATAGCTTTGACAAAGATATAATTATCATAAGGAAATGAAGAGGAGAAGGTATAGTTATTTCCCTAAATCACCCCAAGAAAATATTTTCACAATTCAGACCAAAAATAGCATTGCTTTTATTTTTTATTTTTTTTTGACAAGGTTATATAGGAATGAAACTTGAGACATAGTGCTAGGAAAACCACTTGCTACCGTCTTATCCCAAGCCCGATTCCTAACACATTTGCATACTTTTTCCGTAATAAATGGGATGTACTAATCCTTTAAAATACTTCAAAATAGAAACATATGTTTGTTAAGTGAAAGAAAAGTGTCATTGTTTCCAAAACTCAAGGTACATATCTATATCTATGTACTATATTATTAAGTCAGAGTTAAGGAAACGATACATGTCAGAGGAATAAGAAGGACTCTATATATAGAAACATTGTCAGGTACATACTTTTCAAACAAGACATAGTAGACTCCTAAAATAATGTGTCCCTAAATTTTAATGTATAGAGAAGAAAGAGAAGAGAGGGCGTCTCATCGACCATGGGGGAAGAGAGTTATGTGGGGAGAGAAAGGGAGGGAATATATGTTCTTAAAACCTCCTAAAATCATGACAGAATATATTAAGAGATATCAACATTAAAAAATAATAATGAAGAAGATATCTACAAAAATTCAAAAAGATGCTATTGAAGACAAAGATCCTAAAATTTAAAAAGATACTAGGTAAGAGAGATCTTATATGGATAGAGAGAGAGAGTCACATGGTAAAATATTGAGAAATAGAGAGATGTCATAAAAGGGAGAGAGAGAGACTCAAACTACAAGACAGAGAAAGAGAGTTACGTGGATAGAACAATAAGAAAGATGGATTTTCTTTTTTAAAAAACTCTTCAAATTAGAAAGATAAACTTGAGATATATACCTTTAGGAAGAGATAGAGAGAAAGCATTTGCATGCCAGAGAGAGAGGGGGAAAGTTTTGTGGATATATAGAGAGAGAGTCTCCTAGACCATGAAGAGAGAGACTAAGAGAAGGTTGCGTGGGGAGAGAGAAGAGAAGGGAGTTTCTTTTTAAATAAATTTATTTATTAAAATTATTTGTCGGTTAAATTTTTTAACTATATATTTTAAATATTTACAAAAAAAATTGCCAGGATTTCCTTTAAGATATACTTTAACTCAAATGTGTATTACTAATTTACATTTAGCAAATTTTTCAATTAGTAATTTAAAATTATGCAGATTTGTTGTAACATTATTGCTTTATATTAGAGGATGGATGCTTTTAATCAAGTGCAATTCATATGCTTCTTACTAGTATGCATCATGTATGTGCTTTCTATGCATAATGGATTAGCTTCCTTTGATAGAAATTTTTTCAATCTAGGGACCTCGTCCTTGGATTGAAATCCTTGTAAGTTCGAACTAATCGGATAGATCATGGTATTAGCAGCCCACTCTTAGTCACCACATTGTGGTTTCCCTAATCTACTTTAAAAAAGGGGTAGGGGCATGTCTTTCCCTTTGAATTACCCAAAAAAAAAAAGTTACTATTGAGATCCCATAACAAAGAGAGATCATGAAGATTTTGAGTAAAAAGTTTCCATTGGAAAATCCATTTTGGAGAGTGTGTCTGTGAAACTTATGCTTATGGGGCAACACGCGTATGTTCGAACTGAACCGTGATATGATGTATAGGTTAGAATTATGGAGTATGGCCATGTTTGGTTTTAAGATACGAATCCTTCTTTGATTAAATAGTATTTTGGCCATATACAGTCCTCCCTAATAATTTGTGGTCATCATCATAATCAAGAGAGTTTTTTTCTAGTTATTTGGGATTAACTACACAAATCTTGGTTTATGATTTACTCTATCGAGGGCCATATTCTCAATGAGGCTGTAAGTGCCCATATTTTTTTTCATTACTTCCAACCATATCCTTTTGAGTCTATCCCTTACCATTTTTTAACCTTCCACTTGAACCGATTCGCACCTCCTAATAGCTATTCTACTGGGTCTATGCTGCATGTAGTCATCCCACCTAAATCTACGTGCTCTCATCTTATAGCCTATTGGAGCTACATCTAAGTTTTTCTGAATATATTCATTTGAAATATCTTTTAGTTAAAGCTACTGGACTGCATAATAATTTTTGATATTTTAATCTGATTTATATTAGTCATTTATTAATGCCTATAAATGACTAATATGAATCAGATTAAAATATCAAAACTTATTATGCAATTTAATAGCTTTAACTAAAAATCCATAATCAATTACTTGCAACAATAAAAGTCTATAATCTTACTTGCAAATTGTTGCATGTTTTCTTTATTGAGATTTTTAGATCTATTTTTAGATAAATGCAATGTTTGTTTCAAAATAAGATTGCTAATTGTTCTTTCATACTACATACAAGTTATTATTAGGAAAGATTTTTATTGTTAAAATAACAGGATAATCTAAATTATCATGATAAATCTATTTTACTGGGGATGTTATCGGAAGTAATTATCGACATTAGAAATTATTATGATATGATTAAGATAATGTGTTTAAAAGAATATAATTAAGATAATTTCAATTTATGGGAGATAATTATCACTAAAATTGCCTCATAATTAACAAGTGATGAACGTATGGTATAGAGAGAATAGCACAGGGAACACAGGTGCTGGTCAGATGGCTTATCACTATTATGTCACTTCTAACTCTTTACGTAATGAATGCTAGTCATGCATGGCCCATCTCAATTTCCAACCATCTATTTATTTTTATTTTTATTTTTTATTTTTGATATGTTAGTGGTAGGAATGGAGGGTGGATGTTATGTCGACAACACAAATGCCTTTAAGGTCCCCAAAATGGGGGAGGGCAGGTATTATTCCAAAATATAGAGGAGCAAAAACATTTTGCCTGCCCTAGGTTTTTGCTGCCCCTTCCCTTAACATGAAGAAGCGCATGAAATACAATTGGAATGAAACCCTAAAAATATTTTTTCTGAATTTGGTGACCACATGTTATCCATTTCTTTCTTTATGTTATTGATCGAGTGATGATAATGCAATCTACAAAATATGGAGTGAAATAGAGCCTACTAGGGCCTCAATCTTTGACTTTCCTAAAATGTAGAACCCAAATTCACTAATTTTGTCTCTCCTAGAAAAGTTATTTTTTAGGTTTCTTTTTTAAATTTTCTTTCAATGACCTCTTGCTAAAACCAAGAGGATGTGTGGCAAGTTTGGGGGAAAACAAATGCCCCCATGGCTCCCAAATTGTGAGGGAGCGGATCAAGTCAACTCTCGACGGACCAAATATTTTCCCGTAAGGGGACTGGAATTCTCTTATAGGAATTGTATACAATGAGACCATTTACTTTTTATATAAGATAGTCATAATTCTTTATAACCATTTAATGTGAAATTTGGTAGTTTGGATGTGTTACAAAGTTCGAAAAAATTTCTTTTGAAGTTTGAGTTTGGTAAATAGAATAATTGCAGCCATCCAATTTTACATCCAATAGTCAAGATTAATGTGATTAAGTTGTATCAAAGGTAAATGGTCTTATTTTATACTTTCCCTTCTCTAATCTATCTGAAAAAATAGGTATTGCCCATCTTCTCCACTGCATTACCCAAAAAAAAAGATTATTTTTCTTGCCCTATATTTAGCATACATATTCTCTTGGACTTTGCTGATAAAAAAATATATCATGATGTGATTTGTTTGACCATTCATTTCAAAAAATAAAAAATGGGATTGTATACTATAAGATTGTTTATCTTTATTTACAAGGAGGCCACAATTGCTACTAGCTCTTAGGTGTCAAATTGGATGGCATAAGGTGTATCATAAAGTTTAAGAATTTTTCTTTTGACTTTAAGTTTAGTCAACCATATACTCACAACGACCCGATATAAAATCTAACGAATTAGAGTAATTGTGATCTCTTTATATTAAAAGTAAATGGTCTCTCTGTATATTTTTCCATAAAAAATAGTGATCAATCAAAACTTCAAGAGGATTTACTTGGCACCAAATTCTTTGGACTGCATCATCCTCACCCCATATATAATCTTTTTTTTTTTCTTAAAAAAAAAAAAAAGGAAGAAGAAGAAAATTGATAATTAGCCCTGAAAGGGAAAAATTTTGCCGTACATAAAATGGACGGACTATGCTCACCAAGTTCAAAAATCCACTTTTAAGGCTTTTTTTTTTAAAAAAGTGCAAGTATATGATGGGATCATTTACTTTTGGTACAAGGTGAGCACCATTAATATTGACCATTGGATGTGAAATTGGTTCGCTGCATTTATTTCATTGACTAAGCTCAATGTCTAAAAAAAAAAAATTTCGAACGTTGTGACACATCCAACCTATTAATTTCACATCGGATAATTATAAATAATTGTAACCTCCATGTACCAAAGATAAATGGTCTTATTGTATGCAATCCCTAAAAAAAAGTTATTTCCATGGATTTTTTCATAAGTCTTGCACCCCTAAAATGGGGTGGATCGCTAGAGCATTCCGCCCCAGGGAGACCAAATGGTTTCTTAATTTGAGAAATTAATTTAGGCTTCTATGTAAAATACTTGTTATTTCTTTTTGTATTCATGTTAATGCCTCTTTTGATCTACCCAAAAAATGTTAAGACCTCTTGAGCTCTATTTGTCATATAAGAGAATTTGAGAGAATTATGATGTTTTAATGGACATCTTTATCCTATATTGGTGAAAATTATTTCCAAACTCCCTTTCAGGCCGGTGCTTAGCCATGGCCATTGACAATTTGTGAAAGGGACCCCTGCCAAGGACAATCCTGAAAACTGTATGTTTACTTCAAAGGGCGATTCGTATTTTGGAAAGGATAAGGTATTTGTGAAAGGCAAAAGATATTTTGTATTTCCTAATAGGTATGCGAATAAGGGATTGTTGAAGGAAGGTAAATGTGCCAGTGAAGAAAGATAGTCTTGAGATGACGGCCATCAGATTTTAAATTGGATGGATGTAAGTGTGTTATTAACTAGATCTAAAATTTGAAAAAAAATTCTTGGACTTTATGGCAGACTCCAAACCATCCAATTAATAGTTAAGAATAATTGTGATCTCCTTATAACGATGGTATACAATCCCCAAGGTACTTTTCCTTAAATAAATCCATTTACCATGGTCCCTTTTCTTATTAAGCAAAGTTTTTCTTATGGGGTGGTTTGTATAAGGCCAAGGCCCTAAACAATCAAAGTAGGTGTATATTCAAATATTGTTGAAAGATGTTGTTTCATCATTAGAAATCTTTGCGATCACTAAAAAATTATTTTCAAGTATAATTGTAAAATGTAAAGCTTAAAAAATAGTGTAGATCGAGCAAATCTATGAACACTTGAAACTCAATGGTCCAAAATATGCATTACAAAATATACTATTTTCAAGATTTGAAATCCATTTTTTCTCATTTCCATACATCTTAAGGTCTAGATGATTGATTCGAGTAATTTTTTAGCATCGAAATAACATCTTCTAGTGAATTTTTGATGTACACCTTAATTTGATTGTTTAGGGCCTCACCCTTATATAAATTTTTTCTTTTTCGTATTAGGAAAATGGTTTGATAGGGTTGCATCCCTATTAAAATAAATAAAGCCTCACCTTATAACTCATAGAAAATTTTAAGCCAACTATTGGAAAACCTTTTTCATTGCTCATCTCGGCTTGAACATTCGAACATTATGGATATGAAAAACTTTAGGATTTCAAGCTCTAAAAATAGTGTATATTATAATAAATTCCTAGACGATTAATTTTGCCCTAAAAAAAAATGTTCACAGGTCTGCATTATCTGTACTATTTTTCTAATTTCTAATTTTATTGTTAGCGTTGAAAATTAATTTTAGAGCGATCATGAAGATTTCCGTTGTCAAAAACGCTTTACCGACAAAGATTTGAGGTGACGCTTTATTTTGTTTTGTAAAGCCTAGGCCTCATAGAAACCTCATCCTTCTTATTATGCAAAGTTGCATACAGAAATATAAGGACATGGTTCTAAAAGCCACAAATTTCCTCTACTAAAGACTTCAGAACTTGGGTTAATTAAACAACAAAGCACAAGAGGTAGGAGGGTGGTCATGGCCTTGGCCCCCTACCCGCCATCTCAGCTTCATTCTCACCTCCTCAAAACTACTCCTCCTTCTCTAACCTTTTCATGGAATAATCTTCTCAAGGCCTACTCACCCTCCCGTCTTTCTCTTCTCCTTTTCTCCCACCTCCTCTGCTACCCCTCCTTCTCTCCTAATCGCTTCACCTTCCTCTTCCTCCTCAGCTCACCCTGTAAACCCATTGAAGCACAACAACTCCACGCCCAAATCCTCAAAACCCCATCTCTCAGTTCCTACCCATTCTTGCAAACTCGCCTTATAAACACATACGCCTCCATTGATGACTGTGATTCTGCACGCCAAGTTTTCGCAGAAATTTCCACTAAAGATCTCGTCTCTTACAGCTCCATGATCTCTATGTATTCTCGAGACCTCTGCATTGACAAAACGTTTGAGTTGTTCAATGAAATGCGCTTTACTGGTATCGAACCAGACCAACAGGCCATGGTGGCTCTTCTGAGCCTCACTTCTTCTGTTGGTGCTCTGGATTTTGGCAGATTTCTCCATGGATACGTTGCAAAGAACCGAATTCAAATGAATGCTTATTTGGGTACTTCTTTGCTGGACATGTATTCAAAATGTGGATGTTTAGAAGAAGCCGTCAAAGTGTTCCATGAAATACCTGAAAGAGATATCACTTCATGGAATGCTTTAATTTCAGCCATGGCAGTGTATGGCCGGGGTTTTGAGGCTGTGTGCACTTTCGAGGCCTTTCTCGCAAGTGGGCAAAGGCCTGATGAGGCAACACTTATTGGGTTGCTCATGGCTTGTACCCATGGTGGGCTCGTGGATCACGGACGCAAGTATTTTGCCAGGCTCAAGCGTGGTGAATATGGGTTCAAGCCCGGAGTGCATCATTATGGGTGTTTTGTGGACCTACTTGGACGAGCTGGTCTCATCACGGATGCCTATGAGCTCATTTTGAGAATGCCTTTTGAACCTGATGAGGTAATATGGGCTACACTTTTGAGCTCGTGTAGTGTTCATAAGAATGTTGAGATCGGAAGAGTCACAGCTGAGAGGTTGCTTGACTTGAATCCTGATAATGCTGGCTACCATGTGGCGCTTTCAAATTTGTATGCATCGGAGGGAAGGTGAGGCATGATTCACGATGCGATCTGCTTCTGTGATTCCTGCTAGATTATTAGTTTAATTGGTACACCTGATTTCTGTTTTCTCCAAGTTTTTCTCTCGATTTCGAGTTTGCAGAATATCACTTTGTTCTTGTGACAAAACGTCTCTGAGTTTTTCTTTTGATCTGTGTTTGTAGAATATTGCATTGTTCTTGTGACAAAACTTCTCCATGATTTTCAAATAATTTATCAAGAAAACCCTAAATTATGAAGATTACATAAATCACCGCACTAAGTGACTTTCCATTACCAAAATTTGTGAATTGGACAACTGATCCCTGAATTGGATTCTTCATGAAGGTGGGAAGAGGTTGCAGAGGTTAGAAAGAGGATGAAGGATAGAGGCGTTGAGAAGACACCAGGGTGTAGTTGGGTTCGAATTGGTCACAAGGTTTACAGATTCGTAATGGGAGACAAGCTGCATTCTCAGTCCCCAGAGATATATGCGATGCTAGATGCGATAAGGATGGAGTTGAAGCTGGCTGGTTATGTGCCGGACATGAGCTCTGTGCATGCTAGGCATGGGGAAGAAGCACTGGAGCAACACAGTGAGAGACTGGCAGTTGCCTTTGGCCTCATCTCTACCAATGAAGGGGCCACTATTCGTATCACGAAGAACCTTCGTATATGTTTGGACTGCCATTCGGTGTTTAAGCTTATATCCAAGATTTATAGAAGAGAGATTTTAGTGAGAGATGGAAAAAGGTTCCATCAATTTGAGCATGGGTTGTGTTCATGTGGGGACTATTGGTAATAAAACAAAGGGCAATTTGCCTTGTTGTCTTGTAACATGTACTGATCACCATTTCTTGAATCTGTAAATTTGTGATGAATACATTCCATTCTATGTTTAAGCTTATCTCCAAGTTTTATAGGAGGTGGATTTTAGAGAGATTTACAAAAGGGTTCCATCAATTTGAGCATCGTTTATGTTCATTTGGGGACACCATTGGTAATACAAATATAAGCAATTTGCCTTGCTGTCTTGTAACATGTACTCGTCACCATTTGTTGAGCCTGTAAACTTGTGAAAAATACATAGAGATTTCAAGTTTAGATGGTTGAAAGTCAGATTGCTTGCTACATGTTGCGTTTAATGTTAAAGAATTTGAAACTTTATCCCTTATAAATTAGCAGTACATAGAGATGTCTCCTATTTTTTACATGTTTTCCATATGCTTTTCAAAATATCCTCAATTTTGAACCGCTCCTTGTAAGGAATCAAAGCGGTCTAGAAATAATAGTGGATACTCATTGCAAGGAATTAAAACAGTCCAGACCTAATACATAGGGCGCGTTTGTTTTTCTAAAAGATATCTGGAAAGCTGAATGTTTTGTTCTGAAATGTTTAAATAAGTTCTAGGTATTGTGTTTGATAATATATATAGGGTGCGGTTTGTATAGAGCCTAGGCTCTAAACAATCACCCTACCTTCAAATGGTGTCAAGAAATGTGGTTTCAATATTGAAAATATTTGTGATAGCTTTAAAATATATGTTCATCTTTATTTATAAAGTTTAAAGCTTCAAAAATAATGTAGCTCGATAGATCTATGAAAACTTGAAAACCTTGAAAATTGCCCGTCTAAAAATGAGTTACAAAATACACTATTTTCAAAACTTGAAATCCATTTTTTTCTCATGTCCATGCATCTTGATGTCGAGATGATTAATTTGAGGATATTTGGGCATCAAAACAACCTCTTCTAGTGTAATTTTTTAGGTAGGCTCAAATTTGTATATATATATATATATATATTTTTTTTTTAGGTAGGCTCAATATATATATATATATATATATATATATAGTAGG